TTCCTGCAGTAGCTTGCACGTACTTACACTTTTTTCCCTTGTTTTACATGAGATTTACGACCGCGCCCCCTTCGGCTTGGTACTCAATGCGTTCTGCACTTTTCCAACTTGCTAGAAATAGATAGTTGAATTGTTTGCACCGGTTTCTTTACTGGAATTCTATATCTTATTATGCCAATCGAATTTGCAGAACTACCTTTTGTATTAACAGGGAAGGGAAAGGAAGGAAGAGAATAAACTTTTGCAATATATACAATGTATAACATAAATTAATATGTAAGAACTTACAAGACATTGAATTTTTATGATTTGTTCTCAATATCTTGCGAAACGTTGAGTCGATTCTAGTGTTTAATATTCATTGAATCAAATGCGGCTTTTCTTATTTACTTTTTTATAATACATCTAGATAGGACTGTACGTAATATGTTATCAACCATGCAATTTGAGACTTTTCAAAGTAGAGGAGTAGGTTCATGGAATAACCATTTTATATTTGATTCTACGCAATGAAATTAGCCAAGTTATCACGAACATTGTAGATTACGATAAATATCAATTCGTGTCGGAAATCTTGTAATTTCTTATCTATCAGCTGACGACAAGTCAGCCATGTCGTAGTTACAAGCAATCATTTCCGTGTGTATCTGTCATGGAAGTTTTGAACCTTTCCTTTTGTAATTTTATCGTAACGCGGAATATCAAATATTAAGACGAACCATTTGTTTCGAAATCGAAGTGAAGTAAAGTTTAACTCACTCGAGGGAGTAAAGTGTAATACATCTGGAAATGTTTTAATTTTTTTATACTAACAACAGTTTCCTGTATTAAAGAAAAGGAAAATTATATTTATACCCACTATTGTACTATTTAGTAATTGTTTAAATTATGCTTTTTTTTGAATTTTTATAGTAAGTTACGATACCGTAAGTGAAAAAAATAGTCGTTAAATCCGATTCCACCTTACATAACGAACTTTATTCATGACTGAAAAAAGGCTTCTATTAGACTAGAGTTCTGCTTAAACTAATTCAATCCGAATAATACCAGTATTTTTTTAAATATCCCTATACATACTAATATATAATCGGTTATATAAATACCTTCGAGTTCGTTTGTATTAATTCGTGTAAGTATGCTTTGGGGAAAAGTTATATTTATTTTTCTGTACAACAAAGTGCATTCACACGTCTTGTGCACAATGATCGAGACACTCGATCTATCGGTATTGACTGTCTTCGAAGGACAGCGGCAAGAGTGAAAGAACTTCTGTTTAGTTTAGCTAAGCTAACTAAACAGGCCTTGGTTTTATCTTTCATCCCATAGCAGTATACTACGCTTCGTGTTTCTCATAAAATAGCAGTTGCAACTGTTTGCTAATAATTGTACGCATTATGCAATTCTTCGTTTCCATTATGATTGACATTTCAAAATATTCTTTTGTATATCCTTCTTGTATATCCTCTTATATAATACTTATTAGATTATTATCGTATTGAAACGAATTTATATAAATGAATTATATAAACACAACCGAAATATATTTTTAACTACTAACGTAGCCACGAGATGGCGATTCGTTTCAGCCACCATTTTTCACATAAGACACAATTCTATTTTTCGATAACTTTTTTATTATCGTTAACTTTTATTGCTCAATTAATAATTAGTTTTTAGAACTGCTATATTTATAACCATTGACGATTGATGACAGTCATCGTGAATTTGCTTTTTAATATATTCAATCCTTGCAATATTTTTGGTGTATCGTAAGGGTGACAAACTGAGGGTTTACCCCAGGCGTCAAAGCTCTAGCTACGTCACTGTTTTTAAGAAGTTACCTTCTTATAACATTTTAAAATACAATCTACCGGACAATGTATTTTTACCATGAATGATCATCAAAAATGGTAGATCTATATCATTACCATCCATATTAGTAAAATCAAACTTTCTTTGTAAAGTATAGTTTACGTAAGATCAGGGTTGTTCTCACAAGAAATCTTAGCGCAGTCCTTATAAGCCGGGATGCGTGCAGTCTATGAATTCGCATGCGCGTCTGTCGCGTTCATGCAAACAATTTTTATCGTTGTGTAACGTAGGTAGCCTAAGCAGTGGCGTGTGTGGGCCGTGCGTACCGCTTTGTCACAGATAAAAGCCCGGCCTTTGTCCTTTTTCGCGTGGTCGACAAAATTCAAGCCTCGTCGTAAACCGCGCCTGGACTCGCTCCTCTTTAGGGAATACGCAAGGAACCTGCAGTCCTGTTCGATTAGAATATTTTATCGAAACTTTCTTCACGATTTATCGAAACTAAACATCCCCATGCACACAAACGCGAGCACGCATGCGTGTTTCGCATACTACTAGCGTATATTCTTATAATATATACGCGATGCCCGTTTGGATACTGTATGTAATTTAAAATTCGCGGCATTTTATAAGAAGACATTTATAATAATTTATGTACAATATATATTACACGTTTTGATGTTTATGTCGAGTATATTCGTCGTGAAAAGGTGACAATAAATGATATTAACAAACCTATAAGCAATAAGAATGTAAATTTTTTTCAGAAAATAAGTAGCAATATTTTTTATTTCGTTATAATTCCTTTCAATTTTACAGCATAGTGTAATTACTCTGTTTTCGTCGAGTATACTCGTCGTTGCTTAAAAATAATTAAGCACACAAGTGTGGATTTCCAAGATTAAATTAAATAATTCAGGGCTTGAAAATTTTCAGCTTAGAAGTAAATTTTTTTGTGAAGATTATTTGACTGTACATAACATTCTAGGCAATAAAAATCTAATCAGGAGAGAACGAGTTAAACGATAAATAACAATCTGAGAATTCATGGCTATAAGGTACATATATTGAGTTGAATATGTTGTAATGGAGGACGAAAAATTGTTTGTGAAAGCAGTAATGATACATAAAAGCAACCAATTGGTACGAAATATAAATCTCATAAATATTGAATATTAGATATTAATCATTAAAGTAGCGTTTCTTAATATTTGTTAAAGATGCGTAATAGAAGTTGAATTTATGTTATGGAAACAGAATCATTTAGGAGTTCCTGAAATAAAATTTTATCAAATAAATTTGGAACTTTATGTTCCTGGGATGAAATAAACGAGAGGAAAGCAGCTATTTATTTAAAAATTTTATTTTTGAAATATCATTAATGAAACTGGAAATTAATCGAGGAAGTTTTCAAGCTTTCTGATATTGGATTGAAACACACTGAATCGTTTTATTCCAGTAAAAGTGAAAGTAATAATTGCAGTTTAAATCATCGTGGTTGAAGATTGCATACTTTTACCAGTAATATTTTCGGTAAGATACTATGCTTTTAATAATTAAATGAATCGTAAATATCTTTGTGATTGTGATAATTGTATTTTTCATATTATATTCCACAAATATCATTAAAAGCCAATCGATTATTTAATCTTACTCTTTAATTAACTTATATATTAAATTTATTATTCGATGGGATTATCAAATATATACTTCAGGTAGCATAAAGAAGTTTAAAATAATAATACAAAATACTTTATACAAAATTTATACTTTTCTTTAATTTTCAAAATCAATACTTTAATCTTAAGCGATTGATCAATAGTGTTATCAACTCTATTTTCTCAAAACCTCTTTCATACAAAAATTTATTCCTCACGTTTATAAGACAAAATTTACAGACTTATTCTTTATACCTCAAGAAGTTGCAACGAGGTGAGTTATAAATTATCTAACAGTTCATAAAACGAGTAGCTACTTCCCATCAGGGGTTACTCATTGTTTGTACTTATGGCACCGAAGTTGCAGCAAACGATACGTAGAAAAGTTTTATTAAACTATCGGTGACGCGGTCTGAATATCGAGTTGTCCTTCGATCGATGATTCATTGGCATCGACTAAACTTGTTTAAAATATCGATCACGAAGATGAAGAAAGCATAATCTCAAGCACAGATCAGAAGCTATATTAAACTTATCCACTTCTCTTCTACGTTAAATATAACTACATTACCTAAATTTGAAACAGAGTAAGTTAAAAAAGAACATAAGAAAATAATTTGTTTAGGGAAAAAACATGTACATAAACGTTATAAATACTGGCATAATGTACCTTACCTTTTAGGGGAATTTCAAGATAGAGTTAAAACTGAAAATATCAATTTCGTAATGAAAGTTTCAGCATTCATTATATATCTTCTACCATTTATTTCCCCTGCAAATATATAAAAGTATTAAAAACAAAAACGTAATAAAGTCATTCATGCCAAACATGTTTGCTTGTGGTACTTGATACTATTTACCATTTCAAAGTCATGATGATAATCTGATATCAAGAGGAACGAAAGAAAAAGTGCATAGAAGAACACACAGTTTACAGAGTGAATTGGAACGATTATTCTTCGTATGGAAATGAAATATCCTGCCTTTAAATGTCGGCAAATTACCTTTTCTGCGACGAGGAAGCGTCGATCGAACCAGAAGCAATCGTGGTCGCAATTACAGCTGAATCGAGCATTAAGTCGAACACGGCGTGAAGCGTATTTACGATCATCGTCTTGGTACGCGTCACCTTGCAGCTGTGCCACCATTGCTCTTGTATTCTAGCCTGGAAAATAAACGGAAGAAAACGTGTATATACTAGGTGTATGCATCGCTCCTTACCCCGACACCGGGAAATCCTCCTTTCTTAACGTTTCACAAAGCTTCCCTCGCCTATTCAACGA